ACCTCGATGCTGTCTACAGAATATTAAGATATCTCAAGACTGCACCAAGGAAAGGGATATTTTTCTCAAATCAAGGACATCTTGATGTTGCAGTTTATACAGACGTTGATTTGGTTGCCAAACTGATAGAATATCCACAACTGGCTATTGTAATTTCGATTTGGGAAACCTGGTTACTTAGAAAAGCAAGAAGCAAAATATGGTGGCAAGATCAAGTGCTAAGGCAGAATACGGGGCAATAGCTCTTGGTACAAGCAAGGTAATGTGGATCAAAAGTGTTCTTTTTGATTTGGGTGTTAGAGTTAAGCTTTTGATGACTTTATTGTGATAATGAAGTAGCCATTCATATCGCAGAAAATCCTATTTTTTGTGAAAGGACTAAACAAATTGAAGTAAATTATCACTTTATCAAAGATATCGTTGCTGCCAAGTTCATTCAGGCTCCTCACGTGAAGTCTAAAGATCAACTTGCAGATATCTTCGCCAAAGCCCTTGGACGGGACATATTACATGATATTACGAGCAAGCTGGACATGATTGATATCTATGCACCAGCTTGAGGGGGAGTGTTGGAAATAAAAGGAATAATCTTTATTGTATTTGATGGACATAACTGTCATTTATTTCTTGTTTAGTCCTTATTTTTTTTATGCCTCTAAATAAGGGCAGTATTATCTATAAGTTGTAATTAGGGTTATTGTAGGGGTCACAAGTGACTTCTAAGCTACTCAATTTCCCTCTCTATCTCTATATCTTTGATAGGTTTCTTTCTCTCCCTTCTTCTTCTTCTTCATCATCATCTTTATTTTTTCTTCTCTTTCTTTCTCTATATCCTACCAAACTGTTTTTTTCTCTACTTTAATTTCAACTGAGAAGGTCCAATGCTGGTTTGCTCAATACACTCGTTGAATATGATGCAATTGGTAGAAATCGTTGTGTGGGCTTGGGAGGAGTTCATGAGTTAGGCAACCGACATAGAGGAATCAAGTGATGGCCTAGATAGAGGAGACCGTTAGAAGTGAGGGTGGACCAGTGGCCAAAGTCGTTCTCCACCAGTGAGGGTGTGATGCAAGGGGATGTCCACCTAGCCCATGTCGGGCAAAGAGGAGGGAGATTTAGCTACCGGCATGAGTACCACATATGCTATTCTCTCTATGGCAAGGCTGGTGTGACTCCCTCCACTTAAGGGCCACAAGAGGTGGCATGGTCATGGTGGTACTAGCAGCAATGGACCGGACAATGAACCTAGGTGGATGCATGGAAGCAACTTGAGGACCTGAACATGTGTGTGTACAAGTACCGACTTGGTGGCAGCATCAGACTTTACGAAGAGTGGGAAGGGCTTTTAGCAAGAAACATTGGCTAGACAAGCATGAGCCTTGGGGCAAAGATATGGATTATAGCATCCGGCGTCGGATGAGCTTATATTTGTGACATTGGAGTTAAGATGGGGGGAGGAGACCCCTTTCCTTACAATCATGCGTGAGGGCTAAGTGGGTGTGTGGAACCCCTTAGCCATGGCCGAGTGAGAGGCAAGGCTAGTGTACCGTTAGTGCATGATGAGCAAATGTCGGCTAGCGGCTAAACACCCTTGGTGCTAGACCCTGGGCAAGTGTTGCGGGCGGATGGCTAGAGATAGTGAAACTTTGTGGACCACCAAGTCAATAGGTTTAAGTTTGGGTTGTGGGACCATGGGCAGCTGACTATTTGGGTGTATTTTGGTTCATGAGAAATCCAAAAATACATCAAGCAATTTCCTGAAGGGTTGATATGTAAAGATGGTGAATAGACCATTGGTTAAGCATGGCTATTGAGGCTGACTACGGGTAACTATGGAATCTGACACTATCGAATTCAGATTTGGGTGAAACTTGGATGAATGATTAGTAGAGGCATAATAAGCTTGTGCCCCAAATTTCATAAGGATTGGATCGCATTTGCCCCAAGAAGATGATTTTATATCATAGACAAAATACAAGACAACATGATGAAAACATGGCTAGTAAGTTGGGTGGAATAAAAGGCCAATAAGTTGAAAAATACACATATAGTTGGGGTGCAAGGTGGCAATGATGAAAATATGGGTGTTGATTTAGGAGGACAGTATGCCAAACATGGAGAATGTGCCACCAATTAATGAAGATTGTCCGGCAAATTAAGGCATGCACCGATCCACATGTATCTGTCATCCTATAGATCAATGGATAAGCTATGGAAGCTTCACAAATGATTATCAAGCATTTATATGTGAAGCTTTCAAACTAAAGGAGCCTACCAACTATCATGTAGCGACAGATAACCCGAAGCGGTTTGAAGCTGGCTGAAGAAATAAAAGCCGTGTTCTTGAACAACATGGTGGGAGATTGTGAAGAGGCTTATTGGGAAGAATGTTGTGGGTAACAAGTGGGTATATAAGACAAAAGTATAAGTTGGATGGAAGTATCAAGCAATTTAAAGTTTGATTAGTGGCAAGGTTGTAATCAACAACATGGACTAGATTATGGGGAAACTTTCAGCCTAGTTGTTAAAATTATCACTATTCGAATAGTTTTGTTCCTTTGCTTTGTCGTTTGATTGGCCTCTTTTCCAATTTGACATGAAGAATATCTTTCTTCATGAAGAGTTAAAAGAAGCGGTATACATAGAGCAGCCTCCCAATATCAGTGAAAAGGATCCTTTGGAGTATGTAAGTTAAGGAGATCCAGCTATGGATTGAAGTAGGCTTCCTGTACTTTTTTTTCCAAATCCTTTATCATGCAGTAAAGAATTATGGATTCATGTGGACAGCAGTGGATCATTCTCTTTTCATGCAGATGTGCACCAAAGGTATCGTAATTATTCTCCGTCATCACTGCTGGAAGTTCTTTAGATTTATTGTAGACATCAAGAGATTCCTTCATGACAGATTTAAAATAAATTCAGGACAGCTATGGTACCATTAGCCATTCTGGCAGCACTCAACAAAAAATAAGAGTGAATGAAGGAAAATTACTTGAAGATCCAGAAAAGTACTGAAGCATGGCAAATGCATTTCAGTTCCCCACCCTCACTTATCTCAATATAGCTTTGCAGTAAATCAGGTATGGCATTTTATGCGTGCACCCACCGAGTACACTTGGAGGCATAAGAACGTACATTCCGGTATGTGATGTGAAGGCCTTACATATCTAAAAAATCACATATGATGTACATATTTCTTCCATCTTTGGCTACTCCAATGACGATTAGGAAGGATCTCATGATTCATACAGGTCAGTCTTGCGATATTGCGTTTATTTAGGAAGAAATTTGATATCTTGGAATAAGAAGCAAAAATCACTGGCACATTAAGTATGGTGGCTGAAAATAGAGCATTGGTGAGCATTGTGGCAGCGATTTCTTGAATCCAACATTTGATTGAATCACTTAGTTATAAAGTACAACAATCCACCATTTATTGTGATATTTGGAGTCCACTTGCTATTGCGGCTAATTGGATTTTACATGCTTTCTCAAAACACATTGATATTATTGATTATCATTTTGTGCACAAGAAGTCAGAAGTAGAGGCAATTCAAATGGATTATATTGGCATCGAAGATCAGATCACTAAAATTTTCACCAAAGGGCTCACTGTGAATGACATCACTTTATAAATGACAAACTACGACATGTTTAAGCACGATGTACAATTTGAAGGTGGTGTTAGACTCTGTTTCATAACCATGTATCATTTGTAAGGGTGTTGTTACCATTATTATGGTTATGTTATTTGACAATGTAACATTCATGGACTTTTAAGGGTATTTTTGTAATTGTATAGGCCCTAACATCCAGTCATGTAATATTTAATTACATGCACTTATTTGGGGATCCAGGCTACACTCACTTGCTCTTCTCTTGTCTCTCTCTTTCTTCTTGATGATAAATGTTAAACTCCAAATGAGCCATGTGGGCCAATTATTGAAGTTGAGGAAGTGGGATGGTGTAATTGTCACACTAGGTGGTTGGCAGTAATGTGGTGCACGCCTTAATGGCTAGCGCCAGTGCAGTGAATGTTTTGGTGCATACTCGAGGTATATAAACCCTTTGCCTGAACAGTTGAGGGACATCTGTGCACGTATGTTGTGAATAAGAGCATGTTGTAGCCCGTAGTCTATAGCTTTCATGACCCTTGTATGCTTATTTTCCCTTTTCCCTTGTGTGCTTGTGGAAGGCTGGCCTTGTTTACTCAAGGTCGGATATTAGCATTGCGCCAGGTTGAGTCAACAATTAGCACCATGACAATCACCACAATGACACATCTCTATACACGCAATTGGTGACACCATGTTGAAACATGTATACACAATTGTAGTTACTTGGGATTGAAGGCTCCCGGTGATGCAGGAAACTTAGGACTAAGAAACCTTTGGAGGCAACTAGGATAAATAAGATTGGTGATTGTAGGGAAGTTGGTATGCTATCTTACAAGACTTTTGGTTGATTCAGCATATCCAGCCAAACCTTTGGGGTTGGCCTTCATCATGCTCACACATTTGTCTTCTATCTTTATAGGAGGATGAAGGCACGTCTAATCCGAAAGAAATTGATACTATTCTCAGCTGGTATATGAATAGTTTCCGCATCCAACCTGAAAAGCATTATTTCCATCACTTATGGCATCTTGCATGAGTTTTTAAAAGAAAGAAGTGAAATTCAGCATAAAAGCACAAGTTGTGACATGCTGTCCACTTCAGAAAATATGTAAATTTTTATTGAAAGTGATCTCCAATGCATATTCCTCCTTATCTCTCATCTGTGTTCCATTATGTTTTTTGCTTCACATATGTTGATTTTGAAGTGCATTTTACTTTAGTAGTTGTTGGAATTATTTCTGGTTTAGTAAGTGGGTTCTTAAAAATCTAGTGACATTTAGGTAAAATGCTATTAACTGTTTGTATCGTGTGTTCTGCCAAAGAATTCACATTCACCTTATTCTTGTTTGTCTTATCAATATTTTGGGTGCATATTCTTTTCAGGGTTACCTGCTCCTCATTTTTCTTATGTGAAGAACATAATGCCTGGATTGCCATTGTTCTTGTTTAACTATAGCGATAGGAAGCTTCATGGCATTTTTGAAGCTGCAAGCATGGGTCATATGAATATAAACCCATACGGATGGACCAATGATGGTTCAGAAAGAACTCAATTTCCAGCTCAGGTTATCTCTTAAGCTGCCCCTTCCATTTTCATTTTTTTTTAGTTTGGTTATATTTGTTTGAATTATTGAATCTTTTTAAATAATGCTTGGTGGTCCATCACCTTTCTACTTGCTTGTTTTCAAGGTACGAGTATGCGTCCGACAGCATTGCCAACCGCTGGCAGAGCAACAATTTAAGTCTCTTATAAGTGAAAACTATTACACTAATGCATATTTTTGGTTTGAACTGGATCACGCACAAGTTGATCGCTTGATTGCTTTATTTTCTGTAAATCCCAATTTTCGTTCTCTTGAAACTGATTTTCCAAGGGGTGCACCTCCAAAGAGCAGCTGGCTTGATTCGTTGACTTTGCCTACTTATGAGTTGCCTATTGATTCATCATATAGTGTCTTTTCTGCTGACTATAACATTGAGTCGAGTGGTTCAAAAGGAGGGTCATATGCAGTTGATTGTGGAAAGGCAAACAAAATTTTACATCATAATGGTTCAGAAGACATTGAATGGTGTTGCTCTAGTAAAACCTCTTCCAGCATACATGAAGAGGAGGATTCAAAGCAATCGGCCTTAGATGGTGTCACAAGTCCTAAAACCGATGTGGAGGAACGGGGTGTTATTGTGGATGGTGCGAAGAGTCCTAAAATTGATCTGGAGGGAGGGGAATTTGTCCCAGATGGTGACATAAGTACAAAAATTGATCTGGAGGAAGATGATACACTAAGCAGTGTTGAGGGAACAGTCATGGATGAAGAGTATGTTTTGGAGAAAATAAAGAAGCTTGCTATTGATCGTGAATCATCCAAATCGCCGATTCAAGTGCATGACAATGGTATTGTTGAACAAGAGGATGACAAATGGTTAGCCACAAGTAAAACAGAGCATCAAAAGGCGGCTGAAGGAACTCGAACATACCAGACAAACATTTATTTGTATATAGATCAGGTATGGAAGGTTGAAGCACTTGGTCATGTTTATTTGTTCATTTATTTTTGAAAATACAAAAGAAAATCTGTTCTTGTTGATTGATGTTTCACCTACTTTTGCTTTGTTCTTGGTAGTTGAAAGTAGATGTTCACTCATTAAAGAACGCTTTATCGGAGCAAAATCAACAGACCAAACTTTTAGAGCAAAAGCAGGTAAATTGGACGTGCACAATGTTTTTGTTGAATCCTTTGACTATTGTGGTTTGCAAGTTAAGTTGTGATTAATTGTACATTTCCTGCAAATGCCTCAGTTCTTATAGTTATCGTATCTTGGATGGTGATTGTACCCTCCTAGTTTTAGTTCTTAGATGAATGGTCCTTTTTTGTTTATGTCTTGGTTTCCTCCTACAAGTGCTGGATTGAATGTCTCCAGTTCAATTTGTGTCACACTTGTTCATTTTGCCATAATTATATGGCCTTCGATTTGTTACAAATGATTAGACATCCTTTGATGCACTTTTATATAACGTTACATAGAATGGTCCAGCATCTCAAGTACTTACACTTAGTGGCCCAAATGTCCTTCAATTTTCCATGGTCCATTGGATTTTGGCATAGTTTCCTTAAAAATAATGGTTGTGACAGGAATAAGAGATAGATGGGAATAATTTGCATAGTTTGACTCCATGATAATTTTGTTTGAGTCTGAGGTTGAACTGATTTGTCTTGAGCTATCAGAGGGAGTCGGACAAAGTGATTCAAGAACTGAGGGAACATATAAGGAAGTTGGAGTCTGAAGTACTCACTGTATCAGATTCAAATATTGAGGAACTTGTCTTTCTAGTAGGAGGTCATGATGGTGTGTCCTGGTTACAAAGATTGGATGCATACTTTCCTCACAAAGATGTATTGAAGTCGCTTAAGCCAATGCATTCTGTGCGTTCATATGCATCTGCTGCTTCCTTGAATGGTTCTCTCTATGTTTTTGGTGGTGGAAATGGCAGTAGTTGGTATGATACAGGTATTACACTTCTCTCTCCTGAAACTGTGCTGTGTAATTTCTGTGATGTTATGCATGATATCACAATGATTTGTGATTAATGTCATATCATTGAAACACATGCACACATCCATACTTGCACACACTCAAACATGCTTAAGTGCATACACACACATTTACATGCGCACATACTAGTCTTCCTGTGAGCAACTTTCCTCATTTTTCCTGTAAGTCGTATTTAGACCTCCCAAACATCCTTAGTTTTTCCATAAAACCCCTTACACTTTACATTCCATTCTTAAACTTTATTCAAGAATTGGTTACAAGGTAAATTTGTAGAGGAGGTTCAGAAATCAAAATGTTGAGGGTCGTTCGATCTCTCCCACCCCTGCACCTCCCTCACAAATATCTCCATTGAAGCTATGAGAGCTCATAGCTCTCCTTCTTCTCACAATACTATCCATCTGAAGCTCACTTCCCCCCGAATGGCCAAGGACCCAGCCAGCCCACTAGAGTTTTCAGCTCAAAAAGCTGGTTTTAGTTTTATATTTTTTTTGGGGTTGGGGTGGGATGTTAGGGGGAGGGGTGGGGAGAGAGAGAAAGAGAGAGAGGATTAGTGGGTTTGATGGCGATTGGGTTTTGCAATGAAACACCTGAGAGAGAGAGAGAGAGAGAGAGAGAGAGAGAGAGAGAGAGAGAGAGAGAGAGAGAGAGAGAGAGAGAGAGAGAGAGAGAGAGAGAGTAGAGAGTAGTAGTAGAGTAGTAGTAGTAGTAGTAGTAGTAGTAGTAGTAGTAGTACGTACGTACGTAGTAGGGTAGTAGTAGTACG